CCTCTGCCTCCCAAGTGCTGAGATTAAAGGTGTGTGCCACCACACCCAGCCAGGAATGATTATGTTTTATGGGAACTAGAACCACCAAGCAGCTCAGATTTTCTAAGAAAACAAAACAAAAATGGTAAGTAGAGCCAGGCATGGTGGTGCACGCCTTTAATCCCAGCACTTGGGAGGCAGAGGTAGGCGGATCTCTGTGAGTTCGAGGCCAGCCTGGTCTACATAGTGAGTTCCAGAACAGCTGGGGCTACAAGGAGACCCTGTCTCAAAAAAGACAAAAAAAAAAAAAAGTAACTAGAGTCTGGAGAAGTGGCTCAGCAGTTACAAGTACACACTACTCTTCCAGAGGACCAGAGTTCAATTCTCAATATCCACACTGTGCAGCTAATAGGCTGTAACTTCATTTCCAGGGGGTCTGATGCCCTCTGGCCTCTGCAGGCACCTGCACTTATATGCACATACCCACACATACACATAACTAAATAGAATAGGCCAGGAATGGTGGCACACACTTTTAATCCTAGCACTAGAAAAGCAGAGGCGGGCAGATCTCTGGGTTTGAAATACAGCCTGGTCTATATAATGAGTTCCAGGCCAGCCATAGCTACATTCTGAGACTGTCTCAAAAAATAAGTATTTTTTAAAAAGGTAGTTGGGCTGGAGAGATGACTCAGTGTTTAAGAGCACTTGCAGAGGACCCAAGTTCAGTTCTGAGTACCCACATGGCAGTTAACAACTGACCTTAACTCCATTTTCAGGGGATCTGATGCCCTCTTCTGCCCTCTCCCTGCATTGCATGTACACAGTATTCTTGTATACATGCAGGCAAAATATACATATCAAATAAAAATTTAAAAAGGCATAGTGACAAAGTATAAATACAAATAAAGTATAAGTTTTGACAAACAATAACTAGGGATGGTGGTGTTGAAAAATGACCTCACGTAGACCAGGTTAATAACCCTTTATATGCATAGCTCAGGATGACCTTGAACTCCCCATCCTGTCTCCACCCCCTAAGTGTTGGAATTGTAGATTTGCACCACTATGGCCAGCTAAGAATTTTTTAAGAGCATAAAGCTATCAAAATGTACTGCATGATGAGCAGTGAGACTATCCACTACACTCTTTCTTTCTTTGGTTCCTTAGGCATGGTTTGGTAGTACAAGAACTGTAACATCACAAATTTAATAAAACATGACTATGGCTGGACATGGTGATTCATGCTGTAATCTCAGGCAGAAACAGAAAGGTCACTCCAAGTTCAAGGCCAGCCTGACCTACATACCTCAGTGAGACCCTGTTTGTGGTGGTTTGAATGAGAATGTCTCCTATAGGCTCCAAGTATTTGGACATTGTGTCCCCAGCTGTTTTGAGAGGTCTTAGAAGA